TTCAAAGAGAAGAAAGTAAAGAAGGGAATTAAATAAAAGCAGACAGAGAGTAGTGAACTACCTCGATCGGGAGGTTTCAAGGTATGCTTTTGTTTGTAACTATCTGAAACACAGAAAGAGAGTCGTGAGAAAAACACAGGCACACCCCACGCCAGGTCACGCGCACACACACACACGCACCAAGCGACAAAGACACTTCAAACGAGGAGAAAAAAATATATATATAAAAAAAAAAGGGGGGTGGGAGGGAAGAAAAACACAAGTATTTGGGGTTTAAGGTGGTTAATTTTATATATATATATATATATTTTGGAAGAAGCTAGTTCTTGCAGGACAGGAGGAAGAAGAGAGAAAAGTCATTTCAAAGCCTGGCTTGTCCCTTTTCGTTCCCTTCACCCCATTAAATTGGGGGTTTTTGTGGGTTTTTTTGGTTTTTTCCCCTTTTTTTCCCAGCTTGTGGAGGAACCATCAGTAAATCTAGGTTCATGGAGAAGCAAGTTGGGATGGTTCAAGCCTCAGAAAATAAATCCCTACCCCTGGAGCTGAGGGTTTGGGGTGGTTTTTAAGCCGAAGCAGCGCAAGGGTGTTGAGTTTCACAGCTCAAAACTCGTTAAGTGGCTTTAACGAGGCACGAGAGCTCAAGGATTGGGGAGGGGGAGGCTACAGCCGGCTAAGAAACCAGTTTGACAGACACAGATCCAACTGGAAAGCCGGTTGGGAAAATGGGAGGGGATTGGTTTTAATCTTTTAGGGCAGTTTTTATAAGATTGGGAGAGGTTTATCCTCGTTTTTTCTGTTCAAAGTGAAAGGATTGTGTTTCCAGTGGGAATAATTCCAGTCATTATTGAGCGTCGGAGAAGGGCTGAGAATCCAAGGGGTTAAAAAAACCCAAAACCCACAAAAAAAAAACCCCAAACCCACCCTCTTTTAGATGTGAAAAATCTCCTTTTTGAGGTTTAAAACCCAAATCCCAACAGATTCCCCCAAAATAAGGTGGTACTCACTGTCACAAGCGTAGGGTTTATCTCGGTCTTCTAAGATGGCTGCGTCCAACTTCTTACGAGCTCCCCCGACACCTTTACCCTGGGAAAAATGAGGGAAAAAGTCAAGGTTTGGGTAAAATTGTGGCCCAAAAAGGATCCTGGGTAGAAAAAAAGGCAGAAAAAGACAAAGTGTAGGCAAAATTGTGGCTTATTAAGGGGGGAAAAGTCAAAGATTGAGCAAAATTGTGGCCCATGAGGGGGGAAAAAGCCAAGGTTTAGGCAAAATTATGGTCCTACAAGGGGAAAAAAGTCAAAGTTGACATAAAATTGTGGCCCAGTGAGGGGTAAAAAGGCAAGATTTAGGGAAAATTGTGGCCTAAAAGGTTCCTGGGTAGAGTAAGGGGGGAAAAAAGCCAAGGTTTAGGCAAAATTGTAGCTCAGTGAGGGGGAAAAAGCCAACTTCTAGGTAAAATTATAGCCCAAAAGGATCCTGGGTGGAAAAAGGGCAGAAAAAGACAAAGTTTAGGCAAAATTGTGGCTTATTAAGGGGGGAAAAGTCAAAGATTGAGCAAAATTGTGGCCCATGAGGGGGGAAAAAGCCAAGGTTTAGGCAAAATTATGGTCCTACAAGGGGAAAAAAGTCAAAGTTTAGGCAAAATTGTAGCTCAATGAGGGAAAAAGTCAAGGTTTGGGTAAAATTGTGGCCCAAAAAGGATCCTGGGTGGAAAAAGGGCAGAAAAAGACAAAGTTTAGGCAAAATGCAGCTTATTAAGGGGGGGAAAAGCCAAAGATTGAGCAAAATTGTGGCCCATGAGGGGGGAAAAAGCCAAGGTTTAGGCAAAATTATGGTCCTACAAGGGGAAAAAAGTCAAAGTTTAGGCAAAATTGTAGCTCAATGAGGGAAAAAGTCAAGGTTTGGGTAAAATTGTGGCCCAAAAAGGATCCTGGGTGGAAAAAGGGCAGAAAAAGACAAAGTTTAGGCAAAATTGTGGCTTATTAAGGGGGGAAAAGTCAAAGATTGAGCAAAATTGTGGCCCATGAGGGGGGAAAAAGCCAAGGTTCAGGCAAAATTATGGTCCTACAAGGGGAAAAAAGTCAAAGTTGACATAAAATTGTGGCCCAGTGAGGGGTAAAAAGGCAAGATTTAGGGAAAATTGTAGCCTAAAAGGTTCCTGGGTAGAATGAGGGAGGAAAAAAGCCAAGGTTTAGATAGAATTGTGGCCCAAAGAAGGGGAAAAAACTCAATGTTTAGGGAAAATTGTGGCCCAAGGAGGGGGAAGAAGTCAAGTTTTAGACAAAATTGTGGCCCAAGGAGGGCCTGGGTGGAACGAAGAGGGGAAAAAAGCCAAGGTTTAGGCAAAATTGTAGCTCAATAAGGGGAAAAAGCCAACTTCTAGGAAAAATTGTGGCCCAATGAGAAGGAAAAAGCCAAGGTTTAAGTAAAATTGTGGCTCTATGAGGGTGAAAAAGCCAAGATTTAGAGAAAACTGCGGCTCAAAAGGTTCCTGGGTGGAATGAGGAAGGAAAAAGCCAAGATTTAGGTAAAATTGGAGCCCTAGGAGGGAAAAAAGCCAAGATCTGGGCAAAATTGGAGCTCTAGGAGGGGAAAAAAGCCAAGATTTGGGCAAAATTGGAGCTCTATGAGGGGAAAAAAGCCAAGATTCAGGCAAAATTGGAGCCCTAGGAGGGGAAAAAGCCAAGGTTTAGGCAAAATAGTGGCCCAAAGAGGGAGAAAAAGCCAAAGTTTAGGTAAAATAGTGGCCCAAAGAGGGAGAAAAAGCCAAAGTTTAGGTAAAATAGTGGTTCAAATAGGGAGAAAAAGCCAAAGTTTAGGCAAAATAGTGGCCCAAAGAGGGAGAAAAAGCCAAAGTTTAGGTAAAATAGTGGCTCAAAAGGCTCCTGGGTGGTGAGGAGAACACCACGGGTGCTCTGACGCTGGAGAAAAGCGCGATCCAACAGTGCCACGTAGTGGGTACAGCCCGAAATGGCTGTCAGACACCAGCAGCCACCGGATCCCTCGGGATCTTCACCGGATCCTTCCCGTTTTGGGACAGATCCACAGGTCCTGAGTGGTTCTGGGTGAAGAATAATCGTTAGTGGGTAATGAACATGAGATATTGAAGCCCTTGGGGGGTGTCTTCTGCTCACTCTGCCCATGAGGACAAACACATCCCGAATTTCTCCCCCAGCGTGAGGATCAGCGCGGACACAGTCGAGCCCTGGTGGGTGTTGGGGATGTTCCAGCTCCATCAAAATCTTGGATTTATCAGGAATTGCCACCAAAATAACACTGGGATTTGGACAAATCCACCTGGCTGTTCTCACCTTGGCTTTCCCCTTCCCTCTCCGCTTTGGCGTATCTTCTTCGTAGTCTTCATCATCTAAATCATCCAGGAAATCATCCGGCTCCAGAATCCGCTGGGAAGAAGGAGAAGGGTTATTGCAGAGAAATATTTGGGCATGAATTGAGGGGAAAAAGGGTAAAAATGAGGGGAGTGAGATGTGTCAGTGTGGCTTCGGGTCACCCTCGAGCAGCCAAATCCATTTCAAACCTGTAATGTGGAAGGAGGAGAAAGGATGTGGAATTTGGGGAGAAAGGATGTGGAATTTGGGGAGAAAGGATGAGAAATTTGGGGAGAAAGGATGAGAAATTTGGGGAGAAAGGATGAGAAATTTGGGGAGAAAGGATGAGAAATTTGGGGAGAAAGGATGAGAAATTTGGGGAGAAAGGATGAGAAATTTGGGGAGAAAGGATGAGAAATTTGGGGAGAAAGGATGAGAAATTTGGGGAGAAAGGATGAGAAATTTGGGGAGAAAGGATGAGAAATTTGGGGAGAAAGGATGAGAAATTTGGGGAGAAAGGATGAGAAATTTGGGGGAAAAAGGACGTGAAATTTGGGGGAAAAAGGACGTGAAATTTGGGTGAGAAAAGGAATCTTCCCTTTCCTAGAATTTTGGGGCCAAAATCTCCCTTCCCCTGAATTGTGGAGTGAGAAATCTCCCTTCTCCTGAATCTTGAGGCCAGAATCTCCCCTTTCCCAGAAATTTTAGGCCAGAATCTCCCTTCTCTGGAATATTGGGGGCAGAATCTGCCCTTTCCCTTGGAATTTTGGGGCCCAAATCTCCTTTCTCCTGAATTTTGGAGCCAGAATCAACCTTCTCTGTAATTTTGGGGCCAGAATCTGCCGTTTCCCTGAATTCTGGGGCAAGAATCTCCCCTTTCCCAGAATTTTGGGGCCAGAATCTGCCCTTTCCCTGAATTTTGGGGCCAGAATCTCCCCTTTCCCAGAATTTTGGGGCCAGAATCTGCCCTTTCCCTGAATTTTGGGGCCAGAACCTCTGCAGAGAAAGCAGAAGGGAAGAGGAAGGAGGTGAGAAATCAGAGCGGCATCGTGGCCACGTGCGTGGTTCACCCCGGAGCTCCCTTTTCTCCCCACCCCCCCTCTCTCTGCCGTACCTTCCGCGCGCGGCTGTTGGTGACGGGGAACTCGCCCAGGCTGTCGTCGTCGATACGGGGATCCGGGAGGGGACGTTTCTCCAACGGGTCAGTTCTCAAAAGAGCTTCCAGGCTGCTGCCATCCTGAGAGATCAGCCCTTCCTTCTTCAGGGTCTGATCAGTGTCTGTAGAGTCGGTGGGGGGAAAAAAAAATCAGTGGGGAATCATTGGTATGTGCCAAGATCTTGTTTTTTCCATCCCAACGAGGTCAGGTGAAGCTTTTCACCAACCTTTGCGGATATTTATCATCATCTGGCACGATTTGGGCACAATATTGTTAAAATCCACTCATTCCCACATGGAGAAAGTGATGAGAAGAAACATTTACCTGGTTTGATAGAAGGGAAGGAAAGTCTCGGGTCTTCAGGAGGATGAGCACGGCGTTTCTTCCTCCAGCGGCGTGCGGGGTAGGAATAAAGTTGCCCAGCAGCTAAACCTTTCATTAAAAAAACCCCAAAACAACCCCAAATTACCCGAGGTGATGACACACACGGGCTGTTTGTCCCCCCCATCCGGTGTTTTCCCATCGTACCTGGCCCTCGGTGACGTTTCTCCATCCAGATGTAGCAGTTGCTTTGAGCGACTCCGGTTTGCGAGTCGAGGAAAGGGAGGCGGACGCTCCTCTCGGCGCACAAGCGAGCGTTGTAGTTGTGACACTGCTCCATGGCATCCCTGTAGTATTGCTCCCCGAGGCTACCATGTAAAAAGGGAAAAAAAAAAACAAAAAACCCAAAAAAAGGTTTAATTTTCATCCCAAGAGTGAAATTCCAACCCTGACACACATCCATTGGGAGAAGGAAAACCACTCTGCTGCCCAAATCCCTGCTCAGGGGAAGCACAGCCTAAAATATCGCCCTGGTAAGGTCAAGACGCGACTCAACGGGGTATTTGGGGACGATGGGGACGTCCCCTCAGCCCCCCAAAACCACACAGAGATGTGGGGAAGGTAATTCTGCAGTTCCTCAGTGCTGGGAGATCATTCAGAGATCCCCTCAGCATTTTTCATGCCCTTCAAACCTCTTTTAAGAAGCTGACGTCGGCATCTCCACGTAATTAACGGATCTGCGCAGCCACAAGGATCTTTTTGATTTCTTTAATTGCATTAATTGTGCCTCATCCTCTTTTCTAAGAGCACAACCTCTCTGTGTCACATCCCCACACTCCTCCTTCAACCAGAGGACACCATCAAGGTTGTGACAACCACGTCACAGCCCCCTAATTATGATAATTTGGATTATAATTTCATGGCAGGGAAATGGGAAGAGCCCAGAGGTTGTTGGGCTGCTGGAGATGGGAGATTTCCCCTCCCTGGTGTCAAAAAAAAGAGACACACTCTTGTTTTTAATCAAAATATATTGATCTGGATGATTTAATATCGGTTGGAATGACTGTACGAAGTGTGAGGAGCCCCAAAACTGCTAATTTTGATGAGTAAATAATGAGGAGGCAGGTGAAATATCTCACCTGAGGGAGGAAACGGGACAGAAATCGCTTCATCGTGAGGTTTTTATTCCAGTGGAAGTAAAAGTTGGGTGAGTGGGGAGATAAGACACAAAAAAAAACCCCCCCAAGAGGTAGGGAGGGATTAATTAAAAAATAAAAAATGATGATATTGGTAAATATTAAATGTAAATGAGGATTGTTGTGCTTGTGTTCTTACAGAGCCCGGCGTGACGGAGAAATGGGGTTGGTTTTGTCGTGCTCGGTGTGACAGGAGCGATTTGGGGTGGGGGGAACATGTCCCAGCAGCAATTAAATCAGAAAAAAAAACCCCAAACCATCCCAAATGGCTTTTTTCTCTCTGCTGACTGCAGAGGGAGCACAAATCCCAGGTGACCGTGGAGTTTGGGGATGTAAATCCCACGTGGAACATTGAATTTCTGCCTAAATCATCACGTCGCCCCTCGATAGATCGATTTGAGCCCCGATAACCAAGAATGAGGAGCTGGAAATCTTCTATGAAACACACAGAGGAGGAAAACTCGCTGTTTATGGTGATAAAAACACAAAAAGAGTTGGGTTCTTTGATTTATTTCTCTCCCACTGGCTTGATTTTGGAGTTTAGAGGGGAGGGAAAGAAGAAATCAGCCCCAAAAAGCTCCTTTTCCTGTGAATTTTGGGGCCAGAATCTCCTTTTCCCGTTAATTTTGGGACCAGAATCTCCTTTTCCTGTGAATTTTGGGGCCAGAATCTCCCTTTCCCTTGAATTTTGGGACCAGAATCTCCTTTTCACGTTAATTTTGGGACCAGAATCTCCCTTTCCCATGAATTCTGAGGCCATAATCTCCTTTTCCCTGGAATTTTGGGGCCAAAATCTCCCTTTCCCTTGAATTTTGGGACCAGAATCTCCTTTTCCCGTGAATTTTAGGACCAGAATCTCCTTTTCCTGTTAATTTTGGGATCAGAATCTCCCTTTCCCATGAATTTTGAGGCCATAATCTCCTTTTCCCATGAATTTTGAGGCCAGAATGTCCCTTCCCCAGAATTTTGGGGCCAGAATCTCCTTTTCCTGTGAATTTTAGGATCAGAATCTCCCTTTCCCTTGAATTTTAGGGCCATAATCTCCTTCTCCCGTGAATTTTGGGACCAGAATCTCCCTTTCCCTGGAATTTTGGGGACATAATCTCCCTTTCCCTGAATTTCAAAGCCAGAATCTCCCTTCTCCCACCCCTGAAGCGAGTGGTATTTCGAGGCACATCACCAATCCCCACGTGCAGCCACAAAACAACCTTGAGAAAGCTCCATCAATGCCAAAAACATCCTAGAAATGCAAAAAAAAAAGCAAAACCCTGGAAACACCAAAAAAACCCAACTGGAAATGTCAAAAACATCACTTGAGAGATGCCAAAAAAATCCTAGAAATGAAAAAAAAAAACAAAAACAAAGCCTGGAAACACCAAACAAACCCCTAAATCCTGGAAACACACAAAAACACCCTTAGAAATGCCAAAAAAACCTCAATAAAAAATCTGGAAATGCAAAAAAAATAATTGAGAGATGCCAAAAACATCCTAGAAATGCCAAAAACATCCTAGAAATGCCAAAAACATCCTAGAAATGCCAAAAACATCCTAGAAATGCCAAAAACATCCTAGAAATGCCAAAAACATCCTAGAAATGCCAAAAACATCCTAGAAATGCCAAAAACATCCTAGAAATGCCAAAAACATCCTAGAAATGCCAAAAACATCCTAGAAATGCCAAAAACATCCTAGAAATGCCAAAAACATCCTAGAAATGCCAAAAACATCCTAGAAATGCCAAAAACATCCTAGAAATGCCAAAAACATCCTAGAAATGCCAAAAACATCCTAGAAATGCCAAAAACATCCTAGAAATGCCAAAAACATCCTAGAAATGCCAAAAACATCCTAGAAATGCCAAAAACATCCTAGAAATGCCAAAAACATCCTAGAAATGCCAAAAACATCCTAGAAATGCCAAAAACATCCTAGAAATGCCAAAAACATCCTAGAAATGCCAAAAACATCCTAGAAATGCCAAAAACATCCTAGAAATGCCAAAAACATCCTAGAAATGCAAAAAAAAAAAGCCCAAAACCCTGGAAACACCAAAAAAAACCTGACTGGAAATGTCAAAAACATCACTTGAGAGATGCCAAAAAAATCCTAGAAATGCAAAAAAAACCCCCAAAACCCTGGAAACGCCAAAAAAAAAGGGTCATCAAACATCTCCAAGTCTACAAATCCCAGCCAGGCAGGATGGGCCTCCCTTATAGGGCCACATAGGGGACCTCCTGTACCCCCCTTGTTAGAGCAGGGGGATAGTGGGGGGCTATATACCTCCCCAAGGGTATATATACCTCCTTATAGGGCTGTATAGGGGGCAGACCCCTACCCTCAGCCTCTATGGGGTTCTATAGGGCCATATAGGGAGGGGAAGCTCCATCCCAAGGGCTCTATAGGGCACAGCTCTATGGGACAATGGAGTAGAGACCCTTCTTCCCCCGCAGTGACATATAGGAACCCATATAGGGGCTATATAGGGGGGAGGTCTCACTCGTAGGGTCACCTACACAGGGCCCTATAGGGGAATATCCACACTCAGGGGTCTCTAGAGCCACCCCCCCTCAGTGGGGGATATGGTGGGGGACACCCCTGGACTCTATAGGATCCCCCTCAGGACCATATAGGGGGAAATTCCCCTCTATCAGACCCTCTCAAAGAGCCTCATAGGGGTAAATACATCCCCTGGAATCTATAGGACCCTCTCACAGGGATGTATAGAGATGACCCCCCCCACCCCACACCCCCCTTTTTGGCCTCTATAGGACATTCTCATAGGGTTCTATAAGGGATTCCCCCATCTTTTGGACTCTATAAGCCCCCC